GCGCGAGGAGTATGAGCGCAAGGACGACTTCGACCGACAGTCCCAGGCGTCCACCTACCGCGATCGGCGTGCACCCGACAAACCGCGCATCACGTTGTCCATATTCACGGGCAGCGATCCAGACGCATGGCTCAATAGGGCGATACAATACTTTGAGCTCAATGAAACCGACGGTACAAATCACGTCAGGTATGCCGCTTATTATCTCGATGGTGAGGCCAATGTATGGTGGCAATGGCTCACAAGGATTTATCGAAAGCGACAGCAAATCATCTTTTTTTTTTGGCCGATCAATTAATATATATTACAATTTTTGACAAAGTATCTTTTTTTTTTTGCCAACAACATCAAATATAATATATAAACTCAAGAATGTACAACCGCGTAACCAACGGGTTACAATTAAATCTCAAGAGCATCAAGAGTCTTTGCTCCAGAGATCACAGAGGACACCACACCAAGCACCCCTAAAAGACCAACAAGGTCATCTAAACAAACTAACAAAAGAAAAAAACAGCAACATACAGAAAATAGGGGAAACCAAAACCAGGAAATAATAAAACTGCTAAGACTCAATAGACCATGAAGCAAAAGTGTCCAACAACAAGAAGATATCATCAGCAATCACTGCCACCTCTGTATCAAATGGAGTCATGTTCACTATCTGCCTTCTCAGCTTCTTATCTGTCACTTTGAGATGAACTTCATGCCATCCTGCCCTGCTTCCTGAGATTAGCCATTCCCTAAGCTGAACAAGACCCCACTCTTCTGCTCCTTTTTTCTTCTTCTCTGTTATAGACCACTCTTGCACCATCATATTATTCTGAACAGCCCTACCTGAGATCTTGTACCCATCATCTGTTAGTCCATTAGCACTGGAAGCAGAGTCCTGCCCCCCTACTCCTTGCAAATCAACAGATGCTTGGAATACTCCTGTGCCAGCAGAGATAGAGGCAAATTCACTCCATTCTTGATGTGCCATCATAACTAATTGTCTCTTAGAGCATTGTTCTTTTCGAAATACCCATCCATTTCGAGTCTTCCACAGCCACCATAACAAATATGTTGACAATGAGACTCTTTCCTTTTCCTTCCCATCAACCATTAATTTGCACATTTCCTCCCACCAGTCATTGAACCCAGCACTCTCCTGTCGAAGGCAATCCCATTCCAATCCTGCAAGTTTCCACACAATTTTAGCTCTCTTACAATAAAACATAAAATGCTCTGAAGTCTCATCCTCTTCTCCACATCCACTGCATCTCTTATCTATCTCCATGCCCCTCTGCCTCAGATTCACATTTGTGCCCAAACAATTATGTATGCATCTCCACAGAAAATTTTTCAGCTTATTTTTAATGGGCAGTGCCCATGTAGTTTTCCACATAGCCTTAATCCTGTCACCCCCTGAACTGTTTTCCTCCTGTCCTTCCTCTATCCACTTTTGCTGCTGAATGAGATGGTAAGCTGATTTCACAGTAAAGATTCCCTTCTTGTGAGGATTCCACACTAGCTTGTCTTTTGAACCCACCTGGCTTATGTGAATCTTCAAAATAGCCTCAGCTACAATAGGGTGAAAAGTTTGCATGATTAAATCTCTATCCCACTCCTTCCTGTTATCTAACATAAGATCTACAACCCTATGAAGCCTATTTCTATCTACAACACTACTCCCATCAGGCTTAAACTTAGGGATACCTGGGATCCAAGGGGAGTCCCCAATATCTATACCCTTCCCATCCCCTACTGAGAATCTAGCACCCAAACCCAGATATTTTCTAGCATCCAACCACCCCTTCCAGAGCCAAGAATCACTATCTCTCTTTTTGACTCCCATAATATTTTGCTTGTACATATATTTAACCCTAATTACTCTACTCATCAAAGTATTAGGTCTGGTTAGCACCCTCCACAGCTGCTTGAGAATAAGGGTTGAATTCATACTCTCAAAATCTCTGAAACCCATCCCCCCCTCTGATTTTGCCCTAGCCAACTTACCCCATCTCATCCAATGAATTCTATTACCCGCCTCCCCAGATTTCCCCCACCAGAATTGAGCTATACAGCTGCAAATATCTTCACATAAACTCACTGGCAATTTGTACACAGACATTACATAGATAGGCATAGCAGCTAGAACAGTTTTAACAAGCACTTCCCTCCCTGCCTCACTCAAAAAATTGTTTTTCCA